AATTTGTCCCCCCTTCCTACGATAAATTAACTTCTGCAAATTTCTTATCATTTTCATTTGTAGCTTCAGTCATGTTTCCCCTGGACAGATCATCCATACGACAAAAATAAACAGTGCTAATGGCTTGTGGCAGAAAGCATCAAGGGATGGCTGGGTCAGAAGGCTGGGGGAGTTCGTGCTGTTCAGAAGTTAAGGCTCTGTATAGGTCAAACCAGAACAAGAGTAAAACACACAGAAAGTGTATTCTTTGTTTGTGTGTAACTTCGTTAGCACTGCTGTCAATTCCATGATTTCCTACAGAATAAATCCATATGAAATCTTGGGGTTTTTACTGAAAAGTAATACCTATGCATTGATTACTTTAAGCTCTTGTCTTTCATATCTATGTAAGTGTTCAAATTATAAATACATACACATATCTGTCTGTGTACAAAGTATTAATCCCAACAGGTATTAGGAATACATGCTGAGGAAGGAATACTACCCTTGTAATTTTAATTTTTAAATTCTGTTCAATTGCAGGAAATTTTTGCTTGAAACTTTTTTTTTGGTGAAATCTTTGAATTAAGGCAGTAATCACCATGTATACTTATGCAGCACCTACTGCAACTGGGATTCAATCCTGATTGAGATCTCTGGGTGCTAGGGTAATATGAATATTAAAAAGGAACATATATGAAGAATGATGGGTGATAATTAAATCGTAGATGATAAGATCAGGAAAGTATTCTCAGCTTATCTAGGGCATGTAACATGCAAGATGTTTTCCCTACGTCAGACCTACTGGCACCTTATCTAATCTGTTCCTAAGTGAAAGCACAGTTGTACATGACTTTGCTTTACTTGCAACAACTTAGAGAAATCTATGAAAATATCACTCAAACCTTTCCCATGAAGCTACGAATCATGCTAAAAGAGGATGGTGCATCTTAACAAAAAAGATGGCAATGTTCTTATCACTCAAAAAGAGAGATTAAACCTCTTAATACACCATTCTTTATTAATAATTGTAAGCTTGAAATACAAATAGTTTTCTGCAGAAATTGTAGTTGTGAGATGCTACGGGTATAAGAAACTATCTACACTGGAACAGTTTTTCAACATAATTGATCACCAGAAAGCAAGACTAAAAAGAATAGCAAATTATTTTATATTTTCAAACATGCTGGGGTGTAATGTTAAGGATAGAGGTTAACAAACATAGCTGATTAAATTATGATGGGAAAAGAAGGACAACAAGGGCTACCTGGGAAGTGCCTCCCTCACAGGAACTGCACCACTAGACAAATGTAATTCCAAAGTGGAATTCCACTTAAGATGTGTGTCCCTTAGTACCTGGAGATACTTTAGCTTAGGATGACGGTCTAATAGGCTAATAAAATAAATGAAAAGTATAAGAATATAATTCTCTGAGACAGAAAATGTTTCCTTATGATTAAGAAAAACTTTCTATTCTTATTAACTGCTTTGCTCTCTATTAAGGTGACGGAAGGTATGCTGTGTTGATATTCTCTGGTTTTAACTATATATTAATGATGGCTTTTCTTGTTAAGGTACCAGATACAGTACTGGGCAAAGTAATGTCACAACATGTCACTCAAGTAATTATTTTCTTTTTTTCCCTTTAGAAATCCAGGACAATGCCACTCGTATCAAATCCATAAGGAGCCTGGTAAAAAAGCTCCCTAGACCAAACTACGACACAATGAAAATCCTCTTTGAACACCTAAAGAAGTAAGTAGAATGGTGATACTAACATATGAATAATTTTAAAAGGAATTGAATCCTGTTGGAAATTTCATCCAAAAATCCAAAGATAATTATGTTCTTTGGTAAAACTAAGCATGATTTAGGGTATCTGTGTATATTCTATTCCTGCTCAAGAAACCCATATGTCTAAGCAAAAGCATTAAATTTTCCTCTACTAGACAACAGAACACTTCTGTTTCCTTCAACACCTGAGGTTTGCTATGCCTCAAGTATATTGAATTGAGCAAATGCAACATGTTCCAGTACTGCATTCGTCCAGTTTGGTTTGCCTTTCTCCAACAACAGACCTTTTGATCACTGCATTTTCACCATCGAGATCCTTGCTATTCAAACTCCTTTATTGAGGCACGTAATGACAGAAATAACCTCTCCCAAGAAAATACCTTGCAAGATCCTTTACATCACGAGGAAACTTATGACAACAGAGAGCATCTAAGAAACACTGAGGAGAGGTTCAGAAGGGCACTTTTGCTCTCCTAATGTTGCTGAGATATGACAGGGACAGAAAAATGACACTGTGAGGCTCCACCTTATCATTTTTCTGTGGTTTCTGCACTCATTGAACTCTGTTTCCAGGTTCTCATGTTCAACTTGGGGTTTATTGTCGCATTTCATGAAGTTAACAGTAAAAAAAATACATAGACCACGGGCTTAGTCAGAAACCAGCCTGCAGATGTTTTGACTTGAAGAATGACTGGGCAGAAGTGGCAGACCTCAAGATAAGGGCACATAAAAGGCAGGATCATGTTCTTCCTTTCATGGATGTCCTGCTGCTAGGACTAACCAGTGCCATTTTGTACAGTCACTTTTCATCCAAAATACCCTTAAAATTGAAGGGACTAAGTAGAATGTAGGGCCCCATGGAAACCCTGTGCTCAGTAGTTCATCCCAGGAATGATATAATGACCCCAGTGACTGAGTAATAAAGACTCCAAATAAAAGACTACTCTGAGATGATAATGAATGATATCTTTATACTGATCATTTCTGCTCCATTCTCTTGGAATATACATGAGAGATGTAGACCCTTTATGTTGTTTTTCAGCTTCCAGTGGAAACTGCAAAATGAAGTCTATATAGTTGTGGGAATATCCCCATTCCATTATGTATAGAAGGATTTTAAACAGTCCATATAATAACCGAGTTTGCTCTTGCAGAAAAACAGATTTCTATGTATTCATCTGATGTACTGTGTGCACACATTCTCTCCTTCAGAGGGTTATCAAGAGAAGGATGATAATTTATTAGTGTCAATGGAAGAATAATAAGGGAAATTATTTCCTGGGAAGAACCTGAGTGCAAGAAGTGGGTACACACTGTCAGCACAGATATGCCATATATAAAATTTACTATGCCATACATGGCATTGATCCTAACCTGAAGAAAGTTTTGTTACCATGTCTTAGGGGAGAGATATCAGGTATATGCAATAAGTCTTTGATCTTACAGTTAAATCACTTGATTGATACTCAGGAGACGTGGGTTCAGTTCTTGGCTTTGACCGGATGTTCTGGATGACCTTGGGTAAATCACTTAATCTCTCTGTGCCTTGGTTCCTTGTTTACAAAATGATGATAATACTTCCTTTGTCTGCCTTGGCTTTTTAGACCATAATCTTTTCAGGACAGCAATTGTTTCCTGCTGTGTAGAATAACTGACAAAACTGGACCAGAATGGAATTTTTGGAGAAAAGGAAAAAAGCCCTCACTAAAATACAGACAATAACATACCAACACTTTGTAATGGATATATACAGAATACCAGGCTTGACTAGAACTATAGATATAGTACTATCTAAACGAGCACATGCTCTTAGCTAGGTATCACTGCAGAAGGCCTGGTGAGGCTAGAGGCTGTACTGATGTGATATAGTGGCACAGAGTGATGGGAGGCAGGAAGATGCACTATTTGAGCCATTTGGGCATCTGAGCATTTTAGGAGCAATCATATGAGTCCCTGTGAAGAAGGTCAGACTTCTCTGCCACACAAACACATCCTCAGGGAAGGATAGGCTGCTTCCATAAGCTTTGCTCCATTGATATGGAAGCAGCAGAATACATACTGAAAACATAAAAAACAAACAAACAAACAACAAACAAACAAAACCCAACACACTAAAAACTGTAAAAGACCGAGGCCAATCTGAATGCCCTCATGGCTCCATAAATGACAATAAAGAACCCTTTACACTCTGTTAGTAATGACAGGATATTTATATTATGCAAAGATAGGCAATGTGTGTTTATTTAAATTAACCCAGGAAGTAAGATTAGTTTGCAAAGCTTACAAAATGTAGACTTGTATCACTTTTAGGGGTACTCTTCAGAAGAGGGGTGCCAATGTGCATGATGTGCCAACCTCACCACTGACTTGCACCTTTGTGCCATCCACTTCAATCACAATGTTTGCTTAGTGTGGACCACAGGAGTTTCGTAAGTTTCTGACTAATTGAAAAAAAATTAGTAAACTAGTTTGATATGAGGCATACTACTGCAATTTCTCTATTTGCTGGTGGAGATGGCTGTTCTTGCCCAATGTTGAACAGAGCTTCAAGGGGTTTCTGATGGGGAGAAGCTGAAGGACCTTGGGTACGTTGTTTCTGTGGCATTCCTTTCTTTCTTCTACCCCTTTCTTTCCTCTCTGTCAGGCAAACAGGAGAACAGGGCTATACAGACCTGGGCCATGGAACTATGTGCGCCTGTGACTTCTGTAGGGCACATGGAGCGTATGGCTCACTGACACACAGGAGCTTAGCACGAGAATCCAACCTTCTCCCAGAAGGCTACCTTTATCTTAAATCCCTGACAATATCAAGGCTGCACAATGGTTTCCTTTTGCAGCAATCGAGTCTGCAGGAGTGGGTCCAGATCAAGCCCAAATAACAGTGTGAAATGCACTTCAGAAGGGTCCTCCTTTAGAAACCCAGACAAAGCACTGATGAGTCTGCGAGAAAGGCCTGGCAGCAGGGATTAACACCGGTGCCATATATCTTTCTTAAATCAAGCCCTCTGAAGTTGGAAGAAGTCACTGTGCAGCATATGAAGCCCACAGGAGGGGGATTAAAAACAAACCTTGGAGTTGCAGTACCTGTTCTTTTAAGTTTTTTGCATTTGATAGGAAAAAAAGTCCACCAATGCCTCTGTTTATCTTTGCATGAAATTTATTCTACTACTCATAAGCAGAAGAGACAAAATACAGGGCTGAACAGACATACGAGATAGCTCTTGCCAGTCTAATACCAAACCAAATTGTTTTATTAGGACTCATACTGAATAATTGAGTACAACGACTATTAGATTATTCAGACATCTTCCTGAAGATGAGCAAATCAAACAAATATACTTTACACTTGAAAGAAACAATAAAACCCAATGTGAGCAGGGATTTTCCTAAACAGAGGGATCCAGAAAACAGCCTGTTCTACTTGAACAGGTTTAGAAAATACTTACTTGTTACATATATCCCATATACTGTTGTCTCCTACATTTGTGAAAACAGCCCCAAGGTCTCCAGTGCTCCATTCTTTCCTGTTGCTTATCTACAAGGGAATTTTACTCCCAAACAGAGTGAGCTAATCACAGGTACCAGATAAAACTTATATACCTATCTGGTTCTATTTTGCAGGCATACACAGGACATCAAATAATGCAGAAACCTTGTATTTGCTCTCTGCACAAACGTAAACAGAGAGCAACCAATCTGACTTGATAAATCATTATTTGTACTTAATAATTTGCTCACAAAACTAGAATTAAAGTGAGGCAGAAAGAGCATTTTGCTCTTTAAGGATCCCACAGTATATTATAATTGGTACCTAACGTGCTTTCCCAGCAACATCTTTGCGGTAGCTGTTACACACCCATTGGGAAACTGAGGCACAAGAAGTTTAAATGGCTTAAACACTCAGCCTAAGCCAGAGATGCAGTGTAAAAACGTGGAGAGTTGGGGTTTTTTCCCTGTACAGAAGCTTCTACAGTGACTGCAAAATACTCTTTCCTTCCTAATGCAAAATGCAGTAGGGGAGAGGAGCACCCTGGCTGAGTCCTCTGCACCATGCTCAGAGCTGGCGAGAGCGGATGCAGCTCTGCTCCAGAAGCTGTGCGCCTGCATTATCCAGCGCTGTGCCTGAGCTAATAAGCTGTGCTTATTAATGTTAAATTAATGAATCTCAGCCTGCTCTGCTTATTAGGTTGAGCTCCGTGCCACTGCAAGGCAGCTCTGTGACTCCCAGACCCGAGCTGTCTCACATCTGACCAGGCTGGAGCGTAGGGCAGCCAAGCTCGAGTCTGTTTTTACCCATCCATGTAGACACCCCTGCGACGAAGGGATAGATGAGAGACAAAACCCCTCTCCTCGCTTATTATTTTCCCACACAAAGGCAGGATAATACTTGTTATTTACAAAAGTATAAACTGGATGTTGAAATAATTAAATGGGAAGTCGGGGGCCAGCCTGACGCTACCATCCCTCTCCCTTACGTGGAAAGCACTGAACCCAGATGCCCAACTGTGGAAGATATTCTTCCAGTAGCAGCATCTGCCTCCTTGGCAGACACTTCAGGCAAGTTGTCTGGGGAGCTCTGCAGTTGCCTCTTGGTTTATCACGTGGATCTGTTACGATGGCCTATCTGGCTGCCTTCTCCGGGCAGAAGCCAATTCCTTTTGATTCACCTTTGAATCCAAGAAACTCCATTTTTTTTTTTTTTTTGCTCCATTTTTCCCGTACTGTACAGAGCATGGCAAGATATTTTCAGATGCCATCCAGCTTTCTGCTCTTACAGAGAGGGAATGATGATTCCCTTTCTGACTGCCTTCCCCCTTGCCCAAACTCTTCATTCTTACTAGCAATTGTTTGCATCAATTTCACTAGAAATAAGCTCCTCATCAAGAGTAGAACTTTGTATCTAAGACGAACACACTAATATTAATTTGTTATCTAGCAAAAGTCACAAGTATCACAAGAGT